GTGGTGGTGATGATGCTGATGATGATGATGCTCAAGTTGATGATGATGCTGCTGATGATGATGGTGGTTGATGATGGTGCTGATGATGATGCTGATGCTGATGCTGATGCTGATGATGATGATGATGATGATGATGATGAAGAAGATGATGGCCCACGAACGTGAGCCATCATACATTTTGGCTCGCACTGCGCCCTGCCAGCCAGAGCACAGAGCGCACATGGCCTCAGCGGACAAACAATTCGTGCACGCGTGAGGCCCCAGCTCGGGGCCTGCGCAACAAAATGCCAGCCCGCGTCCCCCAGTGGAGCGCAGCACCCGTCCGCGCGCGCGCGGGCGCGTCGGCCAGCGCCGCGGCGGCGAGCGGGAGAGAGGGACCGAAGCGCGTGGCCCCCTATGGATTGGCGCCTGTACACCTTAGGCGATGCTTAAGAAAACTTAACTTTTCGGCCAGAGTCTCGATTATTCTTAATGTTTCAATGTAAATCCTAAGAGTTTGATAGAAATTGTGGGTTTTTATTCGAGTTCTGAGGCCATGAATTTCTTAACCCATGATTTCTTAAGCATTTCGCAGGGTGTACGACACCGCCCCTCCCCCCAAATACATCGTGGTCGGGAGCTTAGGCGTGTCGCGCCGCCGGTTCTGGCCCACCACGCTTCGGTGCGACACGCTATCCACTTCTCAGTCCCCAGTCAGGAGGGAGAAAAACACACAGACACAATTATTTGTCGATTTCCATGAAAATATGGGAAAATATGGGAAGTGGGGGGGAAGACAAAAACCCAGAAAATATGGGAAAATATGGGGGATCTTTTTATTTGTGTGTATTTATTTGTGTGTCCCAGGGCCCCTTTACCCAGGCGTCCACGTCCGGAGCCCTTTCGAGCCTCCCACACCGAGGAGCGGAGAGCGACACGCTCTCCGCTCGCACGGCACAGGCTGCCGCTGGGGCCGCGGCAGCGACACGCTCTCCGACAGTGTCGGGCCGTAAGCGTGTGCCCCCATCCACGGGGCCTGCGCCACCGCCCCCCCGCTCCCCCCTGCAGTCAATCCGCATAGTAAAGGATGGGCAACCTTCCCAAGGGTACCCTTGCATCCTTGCCTCCTCGGTCCATCCTTCGCCACTTTCGCTGGCCGCGCCCCGCTCGAAGAGCTTCGAAGTGGGCATCGAAGGCCCTGGCATCCTCATCGCGCATCCTTGCTGTGCTGGCTGACTGTACGTTGTTACAGAAGGCGGCAGAACAATTCTGCGGCCTCCGAGCCAGCGTGAGCCCCAACAGTTCGGTGCACACGCCACGGGGTCAGCCCCCTTGATGCTCGCAGCGCTGGTCGCGGTGCGAGGGCAAAGACTGTGAGAGAGGGCAGCCTGTGACCACCCAGCGGCACGGAGAGCGCGGCCGCCGGCGAGATGCATACGTAGCAGCGCGCAGATGCGGATAAGAGTGAGGGGGCGGGAGGGGGGGGCGACGGCAGTTTGCGGGACTCTGAAGAAGCCCGCCGCAGGCGCCAAAGTTTCACACATTATACAACGAGCCCGCCGCAGGCGCCGATTTTCTCGTTAAACCAATGTGGGTAGGTCGCGCGGGGTCGCAAATGGGTCGCGGGTGGGTCGCGGGTGTAGAGGGCAGAAAATCCACCCCGTAATAATCACCCCGACAAGCGAAGCCGTTTAGTAAACGCACACAATGAATGAATCGAACAGGGCAGGGCTGTTTAGTCAACGCGCAGGGCCGTTCAGTAGTAAGCGTCAAGTGTCGGGTCCAGGTTTTTTTTCCTCCCTTGCGGCTGGGTCGCGGTGTGGGTCGCGGGTGGGTCGCGGGGTGGGTCGCGGGTGGGTCGCGGGGTGGGTCGCGGGGTGGGTCGCGGGGTGGGTCGCGGGGTGGGTCGCGGGGTGGGTCGCGGGTGGGTCGCGGGTGGGTCGCGGGTGGGTCGCGGGGTGGGTCGCGGGGTGGGTCGCGGAGTGGGTCGCGGGGTGGGTCGCGGGGTGGGTCGCGGGGTGGGTCGCGGTTGGGTCGCGGGTGGGAACGACAACAATAAAACAACAACAACGACAACAACAACAGCAAGAACAACCATTTTACCCTCATGCGCGATGTTTCCACACGGAGCATGCGACCATCATGATAACCATCCTCATCATGGGGGACTAGTGTTCTATAGCGGGGTCCGTTATTCCCATTTCCAGATCTCCCGCCCAATGAGGTCTTGCAAAAACCTCTTCCGAGGAATTTCAACATATCCCGCCTCGAAAACGCATGCCCGCGCCTTACTGCGCCGATGCGAGACCGCCAGTGGAGCCCCAGCCAAGGGTAAAGCACAAGGAAGTATGGAGCGACAGGATTGCCTTGGTGGGGATGGGGGCTGTCGGCGGCGAGGCAATGACCTGGCCCTGAATAGAAAGTGCGGAAGTCTCGAGCAGGGCCGTTGTTGTTGCTAGGAGCGGCGCCAATGCTGAAGAGAGTAGGGCGCTAGTCCTGCGTAAAACAAAACGACGTCTCGAGCGCAAACGATGGTTTTGTTGGGACGGCGGTTGTCGGCGGCGAGGAGGAACACCGCCTTGAGTAAGAAGGGGGAAGTCTCGAGCGGGAGCCGTGGTTTTGTCGGGACGGGGGCTGTCGGCGGCGATGAACACCACCGTCCTGAGGAAGAAGGGAGGAAGCCTCGAGCGGCAGCGTTGTTCTTGCTGGGAGCGGCGCCAATTCAAAAGAGAACACCCAGCGTAAAACGGGATGAAGTCTCAGGCGGGAGCGCTGGTTTTGTCGGGACGGCGGCTGTCGGCGGCGAGCAAGAGCACCGCCTTGAGTAAAACAGAGAGAATGTCTCGAGCGGGAGCGTTGTTGCTGGGGGGCGGCGCCGATGAGAGAAAGAGTAGCGCGCCTGTCCAAGCTAAAACGGGAGGACGTTTCGAGCGGGAGCGCTGGTTTTGTTGAGACGGCTGCTTTCGGTGGCGAGCAAGAGCACCGGCCCTGAGTAAAAAAGGAGGAAGTCTCGAACGGGAGCGTTGTTGTTGTTGGGGGGCCGGTTTTGGCGGTCCCCCAAAAAGCTCGAGCGTGAGCTTCATGTTCAATGAAATTGCAGCCGGCGCCTCGGCGAAAGCGCCAGGGCGCCTCTAAGGGGTCCAACAATAAGAATAATAATTGTTTAGTAATTGACATTCAACAACAACAACAACAACAACAACAACAATAACAATAACAACAACACCAACAACAACAACAACAACAACGACGACATCAACAACAACAACAACAACAACAACGACAACGACAACGACAACGACGACGACAACAACAACAATAACAACAACGCAACAAACAGAGTTCTCACCACGAGCTTCTTATTCAGCCACGCACCCAGGGACAATGAATGACCGCTCGGCCCCCTCATTCTGATATGTCTACTACATACACATTCACACATATGGACAGCCCACTCCCCAGCACCCGGCACCAATACATTGCCTTCTATATGTTGTCGATGCTGTGGGGCCTTTTTCTTTCCTTCTCCCTCGCCTCGTCTTCCTGGTGATTTTTGTTCTCATCATCCTTTCTCTCTTCCACCTTTCTCGCTTACAGATTTTCCTGACGTCAATTGGCGCATTGTTGTTCGACTCCACTGGCGAGCGCGCTCTGGCTGCCAGGCTGGCCAAAGCCCAACAGCAGCACACTGTAGAACGTGCAAATGGCGATTTGCCCCCAAGAGGAAACCCAAAGCTTGTGAAACATCCCGCAGACACGAGCAGTCACCGAAGCTTTTATGATTTCATTGGGGTGATTGCCCGGTAAACCATATGATTTCATCGGGATGCGTACGAATTTCTGGGACTGCCCACCCTCCGACAAAAATCGACCCTGGAGCCTCCCAGGGCTCTGAATCACAAGCGTCTCAGTGAATGAATTCACAGGGTCAGCGACGTCAGGGAAGCCCAAGCCCTTGGATGCCACTGGAGTGCTTAGGATTTCTGGGTTGCTAATTCAAGAAGCTGTTTTTTTTCAGTCGGATGCTTTGGGTTCCGGGGTTTGTCCACCCACAAGAAAAATCGAACCTGGAGCCCCCCAAGGCTCCGAATGCCAAGCGTCCCAATGAATTCGCAGGCCTCGCGACGTCAGGGAAGCCCAAACCTTGTGATTTCATTGGGATGCCTGGAATTTCAGGGGGGGCGAATGATTCCATCGGGATGCTTAGGATTTACGTGATCTTCTGGGGTTCTGAACCCTGGAGGCTCCTCGGCGGATTCGTCTCGGAAGGGGGGGAGGTGAAATCCTAGGAATCCCAAGCAACGCATCCGGTTGAAATCATATGCTTCCAGGGATTGGCACACCAGACATCCCAAGCATCCCCAGGGAAATCACAGGTTCGGGCTTCCCTTACGCCACGAGGCCAGCGGATTTATTGGGATGTTTGGGATCCGGAGTCCTGGTGGGCTCCAGGATTCATTTTTGTCGGAAGGCGGGACACCCCAGGAATCTCAAGCATCTCAATGAAATCGTACGGTTTCCCGGGTCAGAGCCCCAGGAATGTCAGGCATCCAAGTGGAATCACCTGTGTCGGGCTTCCCTGACATTGGGACGCCTGGGATTCGGAGCCTTAGGGGGCTCCTGGGTCGATTCTTGTTGGGGGGGAATCCCCGACATTCGAAGCATCCCAAGTTTTCAGGCCCAAGCATCCCAGCGAAGTCATAGGAATCGCCCACATTATGTCAGCCCCAGAAGTATAAAGGGGAGACCGCTCCCTCCGTCCTCTCTCTGGGGGGCAACAGCGCTCCCAGCGGCGAAGGATTTAGCATTCTTCCCGCCCCTCGTCTGCAGCGGCGGCGGTGGCCACGGAGCTGCGGCGTTTCAGTTTTTGCGGCGTGCTACGCTTCGTGCAATGTCGAGAGATACGGTTCCGGCCATCGCGGGCCGCTTCAGAATGCAATTCTATACATACACAGATACATCTTTGTATATATAGATGCACAAACAAATATACCTAGTTATGCATATATGTATAATAGCAAATGCTCAAGCTCTGTTTCACCTTACCCCGGTCCCCGAACCTCGCCCGTCGAGCGTCGAGCACCTCGGGCGCGGCCGGCACCCTCGGCGCGCAACAGGCGGCGCCGGCGGCGAAGGCCCCCGCCAAGCCGGCGGTGCCCCAGCAGAAGGCCCCGGGCAAGAGCGGCATCGCGCCGCCTCCCTCGGGGAGCCCACCGGCCGCTGCCCTGCGCCGCCCCTCCTCTCTCTCTCTCGGGCGAGAGGCCTTGGCATATATCGCTCGGGCGTGTGCACAGTCTCCTCGGCGAGGACCGCCGAGGAGCATCTTGGATCACACCTCGCGAAGAAAACCGACGCACGAGACAGGAGCAGGCACGGGGAGGGGACGTCCGAGCGATGGCCAGAGGCCCGAGGCGGTGCGGCGACAGCGCCGTCTCCGGAGAGCCGGGCGTCGCAGCTTATGCGCACCGGGCGCATTCGCCGGATTTCGAGCCTTTGGGCGCTCACACCTCGATCCGGCTGGACGAAATGCAGCAGAAAGGTTGGTCAGGGGCTCTGGCCACGAGTCCCCACGATTTCTCGTAACTTCGGATCTCAGAGAGGGTCGGGTGTGCCGTCGGGAAGCTCAGATGTCGGACTGCATCGGGGATGGACACTTCCAGATCTCAGAGGCTGTGCTTCCCTATAGTAGCGCTTCGCTGTCGGGTGCACAGCGGTTTACAGAGGACCACGTGAGAGTCCCACAGTGGGACTGGGAGCCCTAGACCGCCCAGTCTGGCAGCCGTTTCGCCTGAGGTTTCTTGTTCAGGGACTGTGTTCTCGCCTTTAAATATTGGCTCCACGTGTGGTCCGGATGGCCGCACACTACGGTGCAAAAGGCCATGTTCTCACCCCTGTCGCGCCTGTCAGCGACCATAGGGGTATCTAGTGATACCCCGGGGTCGAATGTTTAGCCAGCCGATCTCCTGCTCCTTGACATGCCTCCCCACACGTGCTGCTCTCAGGGTGCTCTGCTGAAGATGCGTTTCTCTGTGGGCGTTTCTCCCCAGGGTCATGCCCTGGGGCGCGTCATCGGGCCCCGAGGCCGTCACGCATGGATCCAGGACGGCAGGCTGCCCTCTGAGAGAGGGGTCGGGGCCTCTGGGGCCGCGCGCTGGAATCCTCATGAGTGGTCTGGACGTCGGGCTGCCCCGAGGGGGAGGCTGCCAAGACCGCCGGCGTCCCGGGATCTGGAGGGCGCGAATGGGTGCGGAAAGAATGGGGACGAAGACCGACAGCAGTTCCTGCCCGTTCTGAACCAGACTCGCTGTCGGCGTCGCCGCGGGCGCTGTCCACGTGAGACGGAAAGTCGCTTGCCCAAGAGCGGCCGCTGTCGGTTTGGGACATCACTTGCTGCTGGGCATCGTGCCCATCACTTCCGAACGCATGCCGGCTGTGCCAAAGGGAAGGTCATGAGGGCCGGACTCGTCGTGGCTTTCTGCGGCGTCTTGGGGCCGCGTGCGGACCTGCAGGGGCAGATCGGGAGCGACCCGCGGCGAGCTCAACCAGTGGGGGTCGAGAGGTCCGGGGCCCGCAGCGCGGACGCGCCTTTTTGGCGTCGCGGCCACGCGCGCAGCAGCGCGGCGGAGTCAGGTCAGCCGGAGCGGCTAGTGGCGGCGCGGCGGACGTAAGCACACACACACACATGCACACGCGCGCACACTTCTTGGCGTCGCGGCCGCGCGTGGAGCGGCGCGGCGCAGTGCAGTTCGAGAGCGACACGCGCGCGGGCCAGCTCAGCTTACGAGTCGTACGCACGCACCACCACTCCGGAGGCCTTGATCCAGGCTGCACAGTCGATGGCACTGGTGCGTGGCTTGTGACTCGTGGCTCGCAGTTCGGGCGTCTTGGCCCGTGCCTCGCTGCCCGTTGTTGTTCGTGGCTCGCGTGCCGAGGTTCGCCGGTTCCTTGTGGGTTCGCTGCGCGCATGAGGGATCCGGTTCTCCTACGTCCATGCCCAAAGGCCGTCCTCGAAACCTCTGAACCGCATTCGAGCTGGGGCTGTCGCGGCGGAGGCTCGAAAACAGAGTCGGCGGCGAGCGTCGAAGTGTCTGGGGGCCGAGTCCGAAGTCAGACGGCACCCTGGGAGTGCAACAGCAGGGTACGCTGCGTCCGGATGCCCTCTTTTGTTGGGGGATCTCTCCAGGGCCCACCCGACGGGAGTGCTCGACCCCGGTTCGACTCCAGCTCGTCTCGGGCTCGACTCGAGCTCGGCCCCAGTCGACGGACGGTCGACGCAGCGCCCACGCCGGAGTGGAGCGAGTGGCACCGGGAAGGTCCCCGGAGCGAGCTGCCAGCTCCGTGCAGCGCGTGCCTCCGTCGTCGGGTGGCAGGCGGGCGCTCCCGAGGCGAGGCGGCGAGGGCCCTCGAGGCGCGGCGGGAGGGCGCGGCGCGTCTCGCATCTGCCTGCCGAGAGGGGCGCCCGCGCGGCCAGGATCGTCGGCCCCCCGATGTACCCGCGGAGCCCGTGCACAGGGGAGACCGAATCGGGGGGGGGGGGGGCCCTGGTGCTGCTGCTGCCCCTCGTCGGCTCCCTTCTCCTCGCGCGCATGCGTCCCCCCCCTCCCTCCACTCCCCCCGTCTTCCCCTCCCCTCCTCTCCTCCTCCTCCTCCCCTCCTCCTCCTGCACCTGCTCCCTCCTCTTCGAGCGGGTGCCTTCTCCTCGTCCGGCTCCCCCCCCCTCACTCCCTGTGATTATCTCTTTCGTTGTCCTCCCCCTTTCCTCCTAGGCAGGCCTTGGGGACGATCCGCCAGCAGCGTCAGTTCCTCTTGGTGTTGCTTCTCCTCCTCCAACCACGTGGGGGTGACAGAGAGAGAGAGAGGGAGAACAAAAAGAGAAGATAATCAAGCGAAAGAGAGTAAGAGAGAAAGAGAGAGAGAGAGAAGGTGAGGAAGAGGGAAGGATAAAGGCACCCCAACCCTCAGTTCCTTCAGGACTCGTGATGGCCCAAGGGTTCGGCACTGGGGCTAGGCCCCAGAGGCCGAAAATAACGGAAAAAAACGTTGCGTCGCATCTTCTTCCATGACTCGAGGAGAGTTGGTCGGAAATTCGAGCATACACATTACCAGTGGCGGGCTGTTTTTCAATCCCAGGACTTTTTGAGGGTCGGGGGCGACGTCGGGGTGGTGGGTTCCGAGCTGCACCGCTGCATCTCATCCACGACGGCATGGCCCATGGCGGGCGTCATCGCGTGGCGGCTGCCCCACCGTTTCCCGCCGTGCTGGTGCCGTTAGTGGCAGCGCCTCCGCAGCGCCAAGCGGCAGAGAGGCCAGATTTGTTAGATGCTCGTTTGGGGGATCTTCCTGGGGCCCACCTGACGGATCTGCTCGATTCTATTTGGACCTCACTTCGACTCACGTTCGATTCAAGTTCAGTTCAAGTTCGACTTAGGTTCGAGTCAGGTTCGACTCAGGGTCAACTCAAATCGACTGACATTCGACGCAGCTTCGAAGCACGTGTGAAACGAGTGTCTCCAGGACGGCTCCCAGAATGAAAGTGTGTAAGCAATTTTCAGCCTCTGGGTTTTTCTTCAATGGGCCCCGGGACACTGAACAAGAACGGCCCGGGATGAAAGGCCGGCTCTGCAGGGGAAGCGGTCCAGGCCTCCGCAGGCCCACGCAGCGCACGAGAAACACGGGAGCGCCGTCGGGTCCTGTCCGGTGGATGGACTGCCCGTGAGAGGCTGCGGCCCACGACCGCGCCTTCCGGAGCACTGCCTCCCCAGACCCCCGACGTCATGAGTTTTTCATGACGTCGACCCCCAGAGGTCCAGACCCATTCCCCGGGACCGGTTTTTCGTCCTGAGTCGTTTTTTGACGGTCCCAAGGGCCGGTAAGGGCCCCCAAAGGCCGAAAATCATGAAAAACCTCGCGTCGTGATTTTTTCATAACTCGACGGGGTCTGGTCGGCGGCGAGCGAGGGCGGGAGGTGAGAAGGGGGCGGGCCTTCTCAGAAGTCTCGGGCGCGGCGCCCCCCGGCCTTCTGAGGAGTCTTTGGGAGCCTCCCCCGGCGGCCCAGGAACCGCCTCTCGGCCGAGTCGCGAGGGCTTCTGAGCAGTCCCGGCGCCACCCCAGAGGGCCTTCTCCTCCCAGGAGGAGGAGGAGGAGGAGGAGGAGGAGGAGGAGGAGGAGGAGGAGGAGGAGCGGTAGCTCTTGCCCCGCCCCTCCCGCCCCCACAGAGCGGGGCGGCGCTCGCTCCGCTCGCCGGGCGCAGCGTGCCGCGTGGGGCCGCCGCCGCGGCATGCGGAGCCGAGCTCCCGACCGCGCAGGGGAGCTCGAGTTACCAGCCTGGAGCATATCCCTATCCCTGTGCTGGGCATCTCCTCGTCACGATGCCAATCTTAGGGCTTCCCTTATTTGTTTTGAGGGCGCATCCCTAAGGTTGTCATCGCCTTTTGGCGTTGTCAATCTTGGGGCCAGGGATAAGTTCGAGGCTGGTAGTAAAGAGCTCACGACCACACAGTGGAGGCCCATGCAAAGAAACACCCTGCTTGCCTCCAGGCTGCCCTGGGTTTCTTGTGTTTCGACGCCTCTTCCTACGGACAGCGTGACGTCCCCACGCCAAAAGTCAATGGACGTCCTGGGATCTCAGGGTTGGGTTTCTTATGGAAGGTTTCTTGTGGACTGGCCTCCACTGTAACCGAACATATGAGCTCATGCCCGACCTCACGGGCGTCGGACCCTGCTCCTCCCCCCTCCTGCGCCACTCTTCCTCGGCAACCAGAGCTCCGGCGGCTCGGTTTTTTGTCGAGCCTGCGGCCCATGGGAGCTCCCCCCCTGGCAAAGGCCTTTCATCCCCAGACGTGCGACGCCGTGATTCTTCACAACGTGGCTACCCAGATGTCTGGACCCTTGCACGGGGACTGGCTCCTCATCCTGAGCTGCTTCTCGATTGCCCCGTGACCTGGCGAGGGCCCCCGAGGGCCGACAGCTGCCGACCCCCCCCCGTCGTGAATGTCTGCACGACGCGGCAATGTCAGGGCCCCCGAGTTGCTCAAGGCCCCTGAGCGACGGCCGACAGCCGCCGAGAACTGCAGAAGATCCTCCTGGCGCGCGACGCGACGCCTTCCTAGTCATAGGGGGCCCCGCCCCCCCCCCCCCCCCCCGAACCTCGACGTGGTGGCGTTATCATCAGACTCTGTCCACCACAGGTCCGGGCCCCTTCCCCAGGACCGGTCGTCGATCCTGGGCCCTGGTGAGGGCCCCAGACGCCCAAAGACCTTCCGCATCGGCGGGGTCTGCATGGGCCACGGCTCGCCAGGGGGCCAGCGAAGCCAGGCAAGGCGGGGGGCCCGGGAACGTTCTCAAGCCGGGCGCGCAGAGCTACAGACAAGAAGACACACAGTCCGGCGCAGAACGTTGGGGTGCTTGCGATTGCGAAGGCGACGACGAAGAGACCACATCATCACACTTGTTCACGTCTACATCACGTTCGCGTCGTACTGTGATTCCGCTTCTCATCACAGGGGAGGGTTGGGGGAGCCGTAGTTCTTTATCCTGAGAGCTGCAGTGGCCCTCCCAGCGCGATGTGCTCCCTCCGAGCCGCCAGGGGCACGGCCCTGTCATCACCCCCCCCTCGCCGACAAAGCAAAGGGGAGCAGCCCTAGGCCCGGGGGGAGAGTGCGGGGAAGTGCAGGCTTGTGGGTGGCGGCGACGCGGCCGCTTCGCTCCCTCCCCTCTGCCCCCTTCGCCCCCCCCTCCCTCTCTCAATCCCAGATCTCCCGCGGCCGTGAGCTTCTCAGTGCCGGCCTGCCCTCGGGGAAGGGGAGGGATCGAGGAGTTCGGGGCCGCGGATGACACAGAGACTCCTCTCGGAGGATGCCCGGGCTCACCCGCTCTCCGCCTCCTCTATATAGAGCTCCCCTGGCCAACCCGGCTTCCCCGCTCCCCGCCGACGCCATGCTTTCTGTTCGCCGCGTCGGCCCCCAGAGGGCCCCGCAGAGGTCTCGACCCACTCCCCGGAACCGGCATCCCATCCCCCCCCCAATCTTTCCGCTGGCCACCGGGCTTCCTCGCGCCCGGGCCCCCGACGCCGTGCACTTGTTTCTGTTCGCCGCGTCGGCCCCCATGAGGGCCCCGCAGAGGTCTCGACCCGCTCCCCGGAGCCAGCGTCTCCTCCTCTGCAGCAGCGTTTTGCTCGTACGGTCCCGAGGGGCCCGGCGAGGGCACACACCTGGAGGCCGAGAGCGTGATGTGTTCGTGGCCACGCGGGGGCGTGTGGGGTGTCGGCAGGCTGGCGGGGAGGAGGAGGAGGAGGAGGAGGAGGAGGAGGAGGAGGAGGAGGAGGAGGAGGAGGACCAGAGTAAACCCAGGAGTCACCAACGAGGTCGGAATATGCCCTCCCTCCAGGCTCCTACGGCGGCTCATCTCCACTGAGCGAACTATCTGCCTCGTCGGAAGACAGCCGTTCGAAGATTCGGAAGCATGCCAAAACGGTATTCTCGGGATTCCAACGCCACGGATCAGCCTGACTGTTGCGTCTTGACTGTCAAGACTTGACGAGCCTGAGTCGTGCCAGAACGCCATTCCGGGGACATCAACACCGCGAGTCAGCGTAACTGTTGCGCCCGCATAATCCTGAACCTTTTCAAAAGACCGATTCTGAAACGCTGATCATGCGAATCCGTGAAACTCTTTACATTTCATAAACGAATGCGCGTGGCGCTAAGGCGAGAGCCACATAGTGAAAAGGAACAGCCCTCAATCCGTGAAGCTCTCGTAAACTTCAAAATCGAATGTGCGCGGCGCGAAGGCGGGATCCACATGTTGAATATAAACCGCTCCCAACCCGTGAAACTTCGCAAATGTTTACAACGAGTGTGCGGGGCGCTGAGACGAGAGCCACATTTTGAAAACCAGTCGCCCTCAATGCGTGAAGCTCCTGGACATTTTTACAACGAATGCGCGCGGCTCTAAGGCGAGAGCCACATGTTGAGAACCAGTCGCCCTCAACCCGTGCAACTCCTACATATGTTTAAAACGAATGTGCGTGGCGCTGAGGCGAGAGCCACATTTTGAAAACCAATCGCCCTCAATCCGTGAAGCTCTTGCAAATGACAGCAACCGCCCGATAATCAACGGGCACCCCCTTTCACCACTGAGAGTTGAGTATCCCTGGACAGTGCAGTTTAAGTCAGGGACGAGAGGTGGCAACGCCGATCTTTCCCATCTCGGGGGAAAGTTGCCAATCGAAGTTGTTATCTTCTTATGTTGAGTAGCAAGGATTCCTCAGGCTTCCGATTGGTTTCCTCGGTCATCTTTTGAATGTCCTAGGGAACCAGATGGATGTCCGATGCATTCCTATGGATTTCCGAAGGAATCCGATGGATGTCCTAAGGAATCTTATGAATCTCCCACGGAGCCCTCAGGCAATCTTATGAATTTCGAAAGGAATCCGATGCATTTCCTCCGGAATCCTATGGATCTCTTGAAGAATTACTCTGTGTACCTCAATAGTTCTGGGGTGCGCATCCGGGGGCGGCCCGTGTAGTCCGGGGGGGGGGGCCTTGTAGTCCCGGGGTGGATTCCTGTAGTCCGGGGGGGGGTTCTTGTAGTCTGGGGGGGGGGCCCGGGGGAGGGCCCTTGTAGTCCGGGTGTGGGTTCTTGTAGTCGGGGGGGAGGGAATCCTGATCTTCGCGGGGCAAAATCCCACTCGACGACCACGGACATGCGCTCCGTGCAACGGGCAAGGCAAAGTGGCCGCAGCTGCGCGCGCGGCACTAAGTATATTGGAAGCGCCACGAAACAATACCATCTGCGCGGGGCACCGCTTCGCTGGGGTGTTGCGCGCCCGGCCGCACCGACCCCCGACGATGAGCACTGGAAGAGGGAAGAGGAAGAGGGGAGGAAACACGCTGGATGATAAAATCGTGGCGTGGCCTTACGGCCGGCGCCGCGGGCACTGAACGACGACGGCGACGACGCGACGACGACGACGTCGACCAGCACACTCGGGAAAATTTTGAGCATCTTGGGGGGCTCCCGGAGCCTCTTTGGAGCCTCGGGGCCTCTTCGTCGTCCAGTCCGTGGCACTTGTGCTTGACGTGGTGGCTGTGGTCTGGGGGGGGTCATTGTAGTCCGGGGCAGGGTGCCTGTAGTCCGGGGGGGGGCCCTGTAGTCCAGGGGGGGGCCCTTGTAGTCCGGGGGGGGGGGCTTGTAGTCCGGGGGGCCCTTGTAGTCCGGGGGGCCCTTGTAGTCCGGGGCCCCAGAGTTTTTGAGGCACTCAGAGTAAATAGATTGCCTTCGGGAATCCATAGGATTACTGGAAGCATTTACAGGATTTCTTCGGACATCTATCTGATCCATCCGTATATCTTAATGAATCCGTAGGAATCTATCGGAGTCCTTCGGATATCATTCGGCTTCCTTATGAATCCCATGAGATTTCGGAGGAATTCTACAGGAATCCTTGGGAAATCCATTGGGTTCTTTTGGACATCGTAATGGTTGTACAGGAAATTCATAATATTCTGGTGGACATCCATAAGATCCCGAAGGAAATCCATATACTTCCGGTGGACATCCATCGGATTCCGGATGGAATCGTTGGAGTCCGAGGAAATCTATGGGATGCGTTGGGGAAGATGAATCCGTGGGGGATCCATACCATAGAATTCCTTGGGACATCCACAGGCGTCCTTACGAAGTCTATACGATTCCTGTAGACAAATATACATAAGAATCCTCAGCCAATCAATTGGATTCCTTCTGGCCCATGGGAGTCCTTAGGAAATCCATAGGGGTCCTGAGGAAACCCAATGGAATCTGTCAGAGATCCATAGAATCCCCCCGGACATCCATCGTATTCCTGAGGATCCGTAGGACTACCTAAGAAATCCATGAGGCTCCTCAGGGAACCCATCGGATTCCTGATGTCATCCATCGGATTCCTTAAGGCATCCATTGGGTTCCTGCGGCAGGCGATTCCCAAGGGAATTCATAAGATCTCACGGGGATTGTATAGGATTGCGTCGGACATCCATAGGATTCCACTGGACCATAGGATTCCTTTTTGGCAATCCCGAACGGCCCCTCGGCAATACATACGATTCCTTCGAGCAGCCTCAGGATGCCTTAGGACATCTTCAGGAACCCGTAGAAAAAAACATCGGACTCTTATGACAATGCACAGGAGTGCTTAGGGCATCCATCGGATTCTTTCGGCGATCCATAGGATCCCTTGGGCAATATATATATATATATATATATATATATATATATATATATAGGAATCCGCAGGACCGCCATCGGAAACTTTAGGGCATCAGTAAGATTCCTAACCACATCCGTAGTATTCCGTAGGCGACCCATGGGATTCAGAGTTTTGCCTTGTCCACAATGGCAAATTTGCTATGTTCGTGTGGAAACCCCAAGTGGACCCTTAACGGTGACCGATTGAATTTCGAAGTTAACCTTTGCTTTTTCATTATTCAAAAGGGTCCATCGGATTCCCGTTGGAATTCCCATATGGGTGTCTTCAGGATGCCTATGCGTTTCCGACCGAATCATTCGGATTGATTGCGGAATCCTTAGGAATCCTTGCGGAATCCGATGGATTCGCATGGGTTTCCAGAAGATTCCGGTGGATTTCTGAGAAAAGTAATGGATGTCCGACGGAAGCAGATTACATGCCCTAAGGAACCTCATGGGTTTCCTATGACATCAGATGGATGTCCTAAGGACTCCTATAGATGCCCTGTGGAATCCGAGGGCGAGGACGAGCCCGCCGCCCAGCAGCCCGAGGAGCAGAAGCGCTGTGCCGAGAGGGTCGAGAAGGCCGAGCACCTGCTGATCGCGATGAATCCCGAAGCCCCCGCGCACTACACCTACCTCAAGGTACCCAGGCAGGGGGCGCGCGCGGCCGTCGAGTACCGCGACGCCTTCAAGCAGCCGTCCGAGAACGCCAAGCAGGCCGCCACCGAGATCATCCGAAAGCTCGGCGTCATCGGCCCTGCCGAGGAACGCCCTCCGAGCAGCAACGAGATGTTCCAAGCGGATGGCTGGCCTTGCGGCCTTTGGGTGACGAGGTGGGCCGAGCGCGCCTTGCGCGAGATCCGCCAGCCGCCCATCGGCGTCGCCCAGGCGCGCGCTCGAGGCAATGAGTGGGTCCAGGAGCTGCCGGACGCCAGCGGCAACCGCTCCGCCGCGGCGAAGACCAAAGCCAAGGCCAGGAGCAAGGGCGAGGCCGAGCCGCCGAGTGACCCGACAGCGCCAGAGCCCAAGTGCTGCACCTTCGAGGAGGCGCAGACTGCAGCGCTAACGCGCGCGAGGTGCCTCCCGTGCGAAGTCGGCTCCAAAGGGTGCCGAGCCTGCGCGACGAGCGGTTTGAGGTTGCGCGCGAGAGAGTTTCCTAGGCGAGAACCGCCAAATACTTCCAGTTCCCAGGCGAGCTCTAGAAACCAACTCTCGCCGAGCACCGAGAGCCGTGAGGGCGAGGAATCTTTTCATCTCCATCGTCAATCTCATCTTCACGGTCTTCAGGACCCCCCGTAGATTTGCATTGCAATCCCACGGTTGTCCCCAGGGGTCCTATGGATTTCTTCAGCCGTGGACTTCTGAAGGGATACGATTGCTTTCCTGCGGGTCCCTCTGGATATGCTACGGAATCCCGTGGATGTCCTTAGGATTTCCATGGATTGCATCGGGGATCCAATATTTCATTTGGGATACATCACAGCTGGTAAGGGTCCTATGGGAGCCAAAAGGACTCCGACGGATTGCCGCATTATTTATATAATGTCCAACGGCGCCCTACTGCTGTTCAAAGGAACGCCATGGAGGACCGCACGAACCCGATGGATGTTCTAAGAATTGTTTCGCATGCCCATCGGATTCTCATGGTTGTCCGAAGGATTTGTAGGTATTCTGCATGACTGTTATAGGTTTCCATATTCACATTAATACGTTACCAAAACATCTCATATATGTTTCAAAGCATATCCCAAGGAACCCGCAGATGTCCAGAGGATTCCGATGGGCATCTGAAGAAATCCTAAGGACTCACACCGGATGCCTATGGGTGTCCTCAGGAGCACGATGGATTTCCAATGGAATCCCATGGATTGCCTAAGGAATCCGATGGATATCCTCGGGGCTCCGATGTTTTTTGGTTGCGATTACGTTTTTGGTCGTTCGGGACCATCTTGACCATCAGCCTCGTCATCGTCTTCATTCTTGTGCTGACATCCCCCAGGAAAAGTTTATCATCCACCCTGGACCCCGAACTTTACTTTCCCGACGGGGTGGTTACGGGGAGCTCCGGGTCGCTTGAAAGAAACATGCGCGGCGCTAAAGCGAAAACCACATTTTGAAAATGAGCCGCCCCCAATCCGTGAAACTCTCGCAATGTTTAACACGAGTGTGCGCGGCGCTAAGGCGAGAGTCGCAGTTTGAAGACCACCCGCCTCCCATCCGTGAAATTGCAATCAATTTGGAAACTTCAGGATCATACATGGCAAGGAAGTCCCAGGCGACGCGCCCAGCCCGCCCTAACAACTGGCTTCGGGGTGCGACAGGGCGAAGTTATTTGGAAGGAAAAGGAATGGAAGAGGAGGAGGGTGAGGAGGAGGGGGAGGAGGAATAGGAGGTGGAGGAGGAGGAGGAGGAGGAAGAAGAGGAGGGGGAGGAGGAGGAGGAAGAGGAGGAAGACGGGTGTCGGCACGCTGGCCGCTCGCAAGGGTGGCTCGGCTTTCCGGGGGAGGGGCCCAGACCCCCTCGCCTCACGAACAAAATCAGGACGGGAGGTGTGCTTGCTATAACGATTCTCAGGATGAAAAACAAGTCCCGGGAAATGGGTCGAGACCTCAAGGGTCGAGGTTATGAAAAGAATCATGGCGACGGGTGTCTGGGGGTGGGGCGCGGGGGGGTCAGACCCACAGCGCGCGAGCCGCCGCTGTCGCACTGCATGCAGCGACCGGCCGGCCGTTTGTGTCGTTGTTGTGTGCTCCCCGGTGCAGGCTCCTGCCCTTCGGCCACCCTGGCGCCGCCGCGGACCCGCGCATGCACGCGTCCGCCGCCTACATGCAGATGGCAGCGCAGGCGGACGCGTATCAGGCCGCGCAGGCCGCTGCCGCACACTCCCAGGCCCCTCGCGGGTTCGGGGGGGGACCCCGTGGGCGGTGCCCGCGGAGACGAGGGGGCGAGAGAGGAGGAGGAGGGACGGTCAGGAGGGAGGCAGATGAGGAGGAGGAGGAGGAGGAGGAGGAGGAGGAGAGGAGGAGGAGGAGGAGGAGGAGGAGGAGGAGGAGGAGGAGCAGGAGGAGGAGGAGGAGGAGGAGAGGAGGAGGAGGAGGAGGAGGAGGAGAAGGAAGAGAGGAGAGGCAGAGAGAGGAGGGAAGATGTGAAGGGAGGGGGACGGACAGGGAGGAGGGAGATGGAGGAGGAGAAGGGAGGGGATAGGGTGGAATGTGAGGAGGAGGAGGAGGAGGAGGAGGCGGAGGAGGAGGAGAGAAGAGGAGGGAGGAGGAGGAGGAGGAGGAGGAGGAGGAGGAGGAGGAGGAGGAGGAGGAGGAGGAGGAGGAGGAGGAGGAGGAGGAGGGAGGAGGGCTCGTCCTCGGCCACCCCTCCCCCTTCGACGACGGCGGTGAC